CGAGGGAACCAGGGGGTTAGGATTCAGCAGGAGAGGTGTCCCCGTCCGTTTGAAACCCATTAGGAAGGGGAAGTCCCTCCGGCCTCTCTGCCAGCCCCGCGTCTCCGCCTCCGACCACCCGGGCCGGCAACGGGGGCCGTCGGGTCGGTGAGGCACAGGCAGCGCGGGGTCCCTGCCCGCCCCGCACCGCTCATCTCACTCACCGAAGTAGTCCTCTCTGGCCTCGGCTTCCCGCAGTCGGGGCCGGGCGGCCTCCGGGACGAACGGACCCGGTGGCTCCTCGAGACCAGACGGCTCCATCCCCGAGGGCTCCCCGCGGGCACCGATCTCGCGTCCACCTGTGCCCGCCGTCAAGCGCAGCAACGCTGTGAGCTCCTCCTGGTACCGGGCGGCCGCCGCGCAGTCCCCGTAGCCGGTCACCGAATGTCGTCCGGCTTGCGCCCCTCGTCTCTCCAGGGGCCCCGCCGCTCCCACTCCAGACCCGGCTAGAGACCCAGGGCTGCCCAGGGCCGGGGGGTACGAGTGGCGGCTTTCCTGGCAGCCGAACCCCGGGGGCCGGTGAGCGCAAAGTCGGTCTAGGGCGGCGTGGAGCTCGGGATAAGCGGACGGCACCCCTCCGGGGAAATAGCCCGCCGGAGCCCCGGCCAGAGGCGGGCCGAACAGGCACGGCCCGACGGGCAGGGGGCTGCCGTGGCGCTGGTCGTAGCCCATGCTGATGCCGCTGGTGCGATTGCTGCAGGGTCGGCTCCCTCCGGCCCCGCAGCCCCCGCCCCGTCCAGCAGCAGGCTGCCCAGGGGGCTTGACGGCTTGCTCGCGTCGCTGGCGGAGCTACTGGCGAAACTGGAGCGGGGGCTGAGGGCTGGGGCCGTGGTCTCTAACCGAAAGTCTGGGGTCAGTGACTGAGGTAGCGGCAAGGCCCGGGTGGGAGCCGGCCCCCCGGGAAAGGAGCCCTCGTAGCGCTGCGCCTCAAAGGAGCCGCGCGGGTTGCGCTCGGCGTCCAGGGGTCCTTGCTCCCGGGCTGGATCCAGCGGCTCATCCCCAGGTCCCCCGGTAGCTCCACGGGGCCCTGATTTCCTCGGTCCCCCCGACCCACTCAGGCGCCCTTTGCCCGGCCCGGGGGTCCCATCAGACCGGCTAGATTCACCCTTTCTGCGGCCGAACTTAGCGCTGCCCGAGTCCGAGAGTCTTAACTTCTCAAACAGGCGACTGGCTTTCTCTCCCAACCGCTCCATGCCCTCGGGCCTGGGGCCTCCAGCCCCCTCCCCGCCCCGCACCCAGGAGCCTCTCGGCCCCCGCTTCTCTTTGCCTGCGGCCGGGCTCCGGTTCCCCGGGGGCACGGAGTAGGCACCAGGGTCTAGCGGGCGGCCCCGATGCCCGGCGCCAGGAATCCCCCAGCATCCCCCGGCAGGAGGGGCTGCGGACCCCCGCGCATCAGGGGCTGAGCAGGCTGGGAGGGCCTACGGCTGTCGCGTCCGCAGGTCTATCTGTCCACGCGTCGACTTGCCCGGCCGCCCCGCTGCTCCCGGCCCCCGCCCCCCTCGCTCTCACACTCAGCACGGACGGAACTTCTCTCCCAAACTTTTGTCTGCCTGGCCGGATCTACTTTCCGGGAGGGGCGGAGCACCGAGCGAAGGAGAAACGGGGGTGTCTGCGCAGGGATCTCTGCTGCGCGGCATGGGGCGGTGGGAGCTGGTAGTCACTGTCCTGGAGGTGGAGATTCGCCGCCAGGAGAGGAGAGGAGGGCAAGTTCGGGCAGTTGCTCCTGCATCACTCGATGACTGGGACAGGGAAAAGTTGGGGTGGGACTCTTTGTTTGCAGTTGGAATGCGCGGAGGGGCACGGTGGAATGTCCTGGTCTAGAACGGGGCGACGCGAGGCATGCTCTGTGCAAACACCACTTTGTTCCTAGTGTGGGGACTGGGAGAGATGAAGAGAGACTGATTGAGACAGGGAGGGATCCGTAAAGAGGAAGACAGGGAAAAAGAAGAAAGGTAGGTACATACAGAGTTTCAGAGACGCCGCCGTAGTGTCCAGAAAGGCGAGGAAGCCCATGGAGAGAGGTGGTGGAAGACAGGTAGCGAAAGGAAAGGGAGCAAAGGAGGTTGAGGGTGGTGCAGAGACCGAAGGATGAATAGACTAAGAAAAAGACAAATTTGTGCAAGTTCAGAGAGAATGAGAGATAAAGAGATAAACTGTAATAAAAAGACACCACTTCCTGAACCCAAAGCTCTGTTTAAGAAGGGAAGGAACTTTAGTGTCTATGTAAAAGGAGGAAAAGGTTTGGAACTAATCTCAAACTTCAGATTAGGACAGATAGACAGACACCCCCTGGTGTTGGGAAATGAAATTTTTTAGCAAATATTTCAGGTGACTATGGGATAGAAGGTCTGGTTTTAGGGCTAGCGAATGCCCCCTCGCCCCCCCACCCCCCTTTGGTTGGCCCACAGGAGATTGGCGATAAAGAGTAAGTATTAAGAGGAAGAAAAGCAATGTCATTTAAAGGAGTTAGCAAGTGAAAATGATCAGGGTGGAAAAGAAAAAGAGGCTGATATTGGCCATACTAGAAGGATCAAGAATAAGAAAAAGAAGAAACCATGGTTGAAGCTAAACATATCCAGTTAAATACCCATCAACCGATTTTGCCCAGACTAACACATCAGGGGCAAGGGATGGAGGAAGTAAATGGAGAAGGAAAATGACTCCTTTGTATTTAGATAGAAAACGAATCATGCAAACAAATCATGCATATTATTTTTGTCTCAACATTTTGAACACCTTTTATAATCTTAGTGTAGCCTTAGGGAATGGGAAAGAAAAGGGGGTTAATATCTTTGGGGAAATTAATTTGGTACAAACTATTTGGCTTCTTTGTCCTAGCTGCATTGTTTCCCTGACCTCATCTCTCCTGAGAATCAGCTTCTCTGTTTGCCTGGTCAGGCTTACAGCTTTTCTCTGATCCAGAAGAGAGTTTACTATCAGACTGGAAGCAAGGAGGACTGAAAGCATTAGTAATAGAGGGGAGCTATCAGATTGCATCCAGAACTTGCTGTGAGCGACATCTTCAGAATTAACCATACGCCTCTCCTTTCCTGTCTCCAAATGGGGAAGGAGAACCTGAATTCTTCCTCCCAGTTATTTACACCCAAAATACCTGAACAGCCTCTAATATTTGGAAGCTTTGCTCCTTTGGGGTGAGGATGAGAGAGTAAATCTTATGGAAGGTTGAAAAGCCATTAAAGGAGGCCCTCCCAGGAGTTGGTGGTGGCAGCAGTGAGCACAGTTGGAATCAACGACCTGCATTTTCAGGGGATCATAGGAAGGGGGCGAGAGGTACACTGAGATGGCATGCTCCCATAGGGCTCACAACCTCAGGGTAACCAGTCATTAGTTTAAACTGGAGTCAGGAGCTCCACAGGCCCTATTTTCCATCCCAAAGACTTTAATTAAGGTCTATATATACACAAATGACTGCCAAATCCGTATCTCTAGCCCAGACTTTCTTGGATTTAAAAAATCTGAGTACGAGCATCTACTTGGTTATCTCAAAGGCATACAGCACCCTAAACTGACCCCACCTTCCCTGCGTCCTGAAACGGGCTCCTCCAGCATTCCCTGAGTAAATGGCATCCTTAACCACTTAGCTGCTTAAGCCAGAAACCTAAACATCAATCTTATGTCCTCCTCCCTTAATCTCAAATCAGCTAAGTCCTAGCACCAAGTCCGATCAATTCTGCTTCCTAAATATCTTTCAAATCTGCCCTCCCTTCATCACCCCTGTGTCTCTCGGGCCACCATCTTTTCTCCCCAGAACCACTGCAAGAGTCTCACTGTCAAGGCTTTCCCCTTCCAAGCCATCTTGTAACCCAAGGTCAAGTGATTCTTCTAAAACACAGAGCTGGAGGGGGCGGGGGGACTGGGGTAAAACACAGAACTGACCAACTCATTTCCCTCCTTAAAACCTTACAATGACTGATCATTGCCCTTGAACTGAAGTCTGAACTCTTCAAGATATTTTACAAGGTTTTTCTACCTCTCCAGCCTCTTCTTCTCAGCATCATCCCCTCCCCAAAATGTTCTGTAGAAGTGTATCTTGTCTGTGCTCTCTAGTACCCGCTGCTCCTTATGTTTGGAACACTCTCCTGGCCTCCCTTCCCCCATCTTTCCCTTCAGGTATCAGTTTAAACACCACTCTGCGAAGCCTTTCCAGACCACCAGCATAGGTTAGCTACCACTGCTGTATCCTGCCAGTGCCCCCTACAGTCCCTCATCACTCTTAGCACTATTTATTCAAACTGCCTACTTAACTGCCTGGTTTTCTGACTAGATAATAAAACCTTAGATCAGCATCTACTTTGATCAACATTGTGTCTATAGCACAGTATCTGACACCTAGTAAGCAATCAATGTTTGTTATATGGATGACTGGCTAGAAAGCCATTTTTACTTCTCAATCTATTCAAAATGCATACATTTTGTGGGGTGGGCATGCACCCCTGGTGGGTGTGGCGCGCGGGGCACGCACACACACACACACACACACACATGCGGACACACACACACACACACACACACACACACACGCACACACACCTTCCTCAAAATACAGTTAGGCTGACAAGATTAAGAAATAGCTACAGAGCCCTATATATGCACACAGTGGTAGAGCGGGTGCCAGTGATACATGGGAACTCTTTTAGCCTTAATTTCCTCATGTGTAAGATGAGAATAATAAAATCTGCTTTATATAATTTAATAAAGCTATTACATCTAAATCCTAATTCCCAAAAAGGGATGGAGCCCCAGTTCTTCTCAGAAGAATCAAAGACTGAAACTGCCCACCAGGTGGCAGTATTACCCTGGACTGTTTCCGGGCGGCTTCCACTGCAGAGCAAGACCAGCGGTCCTGGGGAAGCAGAAGGTGCAACCAGAGCTGCTTCCCAGAGCTTCGAGTGAAACCCGAAAAATAACAAAACAAAACAAAAAACTCAGAGACCCGGGCATATGTTGAGAAGGCCTCGTGTTTCTTAGACCCATCCTCCTCCTCCTCTCATCCCCGGCTCTTCTGAGGCATTGTTTATGCTTAGGAACAAGCACTTTCTGGCTTGCCATTCACAATGGGGGGACTTTCCCCCTTTCAGAGAAGTCCTTTGATCCCACCGGAGCTGCCAGCTTTCATTTCCAGTGGGGACTGTGTTAAGAACAGAGGCAGACTTGCTTTCTCAGGCTGCAGAGGACATCTCATTCTTCTGGGAAGCCCAATAGGCCTGGCTCTGGGACATGGGAAGTGGCAGAAGCCAGAGATACTCTTGGTTATAGATTTCACTCATCCTTTTCCACCTTGACTTCAATAAATGAATTCAAGTCAGGACAGCAGGTTTTATGGGACTGGTCAAAAGATAGGGAGACAGGTCCATTTTCATCACCTCCCTCATCTTCTTCTTCTTGGAAATTAGGATTATAAAGTTCTGGTGGAAGGAGCTGGGCCTCAGCAGAGGGTAATCGGTCTGAGGGAGGCCCATATATACGGTTGGCTTTAGTGCCATGCTTAGAGTTGGCATCCAGATGGTAGCAGAGCTCTGTGAGGCGCTGGGCCCGGAAACGGGGCGGCCTGGCTACCCAGACACCTGGCTCATTAAGACTGTCCTCTTCATCTGACATCAGCTCTTCTGTCACATCCTTCCACAGGCGTTGTTCCTCGGGTCCAAAATGCCTCATGATACTGGATCGGTTGGCAAAAAGCTATAGTAGGAGCCCAGGACAGAGATTAGGAAGAGAAAAAAACTATGGATTAGGTTTGGGGAGAGGGTTTGTGTAGGAGGAAGTCTGTGTAAAATCTGTGCCTGAGAGAACCCAAGCCCCCAAGCCAAATCTTAGAACTGGCTCACCCTCCTCCTCCTCTATCTGCCTACATTATTCACTCTCAACTCTCTTCTTAGATGCCATGACCTCTGGCCCTTCCCACTGGTGCTTATTAGGGTTTAGAGTTTAGCATCTGAAAGGAAGGC